GGTCCATTATACAACACCCATTCCACCTCCTCCCTAGAAGAGAAGATAAACAAGTATCGATCATTTATTAATTTCTTGATCCTCACCCCTGCTACCTCCCCCCAACTTCTTGCTGCCCAAGATTCGATTTCTTCCATCCCCACCTTCCTCTAGAAGCAGCCCACTAAGCAGCCCTTCAGAAAATTCATTTTGGCTTCCACCCCCCTTTGTTCCGTTTCTAGAAATTGCCGATCCCCCTCCCTTCGAATGATCATCTCCCCAAATCCAGGCCAAATCCCTACGCCTACCACGCTTTTATAGGAGAAGTTTCTTTTCAAACCTAACCCTTTTTTGTTTGGATTGTGCCAGTTCTCCACCCCCCATCTACCTCCCCTTTCTACCGGAAAACCTGAACACCTCTGAACCACATCTTATGGAAACCAGACGAACAAAGCCATGTAAACAACTTGTGGGTTAATCTATCCCGGTTGCCGACATTAGGTATCGTAGTTATCATCGTTGTCCTACCCAAACATAATTGATAAGAGTAAAATAAGGTAGGGATGCTAGTCATGTTTAGAGTCTCCTAAGTCAATAAACAATGGAATGTCAAAATTACCTATAACTGAAGCTAAATTGACAATGGATCTTCTTAATACCTGAATGAGTAGATGCAATAGGAGGGCAAGCTTTTGAAGTAGAGCTACCAACCATGTTATTCTCTATCTGAGTCAAATATCTATTGTACCACTATATGTCTACTTTAGATGCATTCAAATGTCCTCGTAGATGGTGGACTAGGAAAAGAAACAATGGGCAGTGATTTGGCAGGAAAGCCTAGGTGCATAAGCGAGGCACATTAGGAGATAATGAATGCAATACCAAGCCTGTAATCCTTCTATAAAAAAAATTGTTCATGTAGAGAGCATAGATGTGGGCCCCACAGCTGTGGTCCCACTCTGTCCGTAGGGTAGAATGTGCCCTAGTCATCCTAGGGTTAGCTAATGGTCAATCTGTTATTCCAGTTGTTATTTATATTTCAGTTTTATATTGTTTTATGTGTTATGTAAATACCAAGGGCAGATTTGTCCTTTCATGTAACTAGAATAACCTATAAATACTAAATAGAAGTGGCAGCGGCAGAATATTCAGATTCTGTCATTCCTTTCAATTCTTGTGTTCTACTGCTCTCTCCCTGAAGAAAAGGACCCAAACCCCCACTCTCACTGCTCTCCCCTTGAGGAGAAACCCGAGGATAATAGAGTGTCTCCTCAAAGAAAGTGACATCCATGGAGACAAGCTTCCTCCCTGAGACAGGATCATAGCAGCAATAACCCTTTTGAGTTTGTGCATAACCAAGGAAAATGCATTTGGAGGCCTTGGGTTCAAACTTGGAGTGATGGGGTCCGAGAAGCTAAACAAAGTAGGTACAACAATGTTTTAAGGGGAATAGAAAACAACTCCTCACTTGGGTATAGAAGGGAAAAA